ACATTCCCAGATTGTAAGACCCTGGAGGGGACCAGGACCAAGTGACAGCTGGTGCTCCAATCATACATTTGATTTTTGTTGCTCTTAGGTTTTTGTTGTTCCTTCTGATGAACTTTGGTATCCCAGCAGGCCACAGAATCCTCACCTAATGTTCACGTATCTGTAAGAGATGAATTAAGTGGCGACGGACAGAAGGCGACCTTGGCATTGGTTTTGCTACTCAGAAAAGCAGCAGCCCCTCACTAGGAGGCTCATCGTTAGCTTTTCTTTAAAACCAGAAGAACCCTAGGGAGTCTTGCAAGTCCTCAGGGAACAGCTTTGAGTTCCCAAGGCACGAGGAGAAAGACAAGGTGAGGGAAAATAGAGTGAGAAACTGCATGAGATCTGGCAGATTCTTCTTCAAAAACGAGTCAAAAATCTTCATGGTTCAGAGGATGTTCCCAGGGCGTCGGCATTTCTCTGTCTCTTTGCAAACGTTGCTTCTTATTTTATCCAGTGGACATGAAGCTACTAAAATTATCTTCCATTTTTGTCCTCTGTCTCACTTCTTTGATCTCCGTCACCTCGCTGGGAGGATGCACTGTTTTCTTAGAGGCTGCTGCTCAGTTATTCCCCCTTCTGGCCACCATGACAGGCACCAGGGCAACCTCACTCTAAGGGAATGTGTGTCTGCTTGGAATTGCATTCAGGTGTTGCCTCATGGGAGTATTTCCTTAGCTGCTGTGACCAGGGCTGGGAGGACCACACTCCTGACTGACACTCACACTTCTGTCCTCAAATGTCAACACACTTGAAACCAAACAAAGGAAGTGTTTGGGAGGTTGCCATCTGTTTGCTTTTTCAGTGTGATCTTTGTCTGAACAGTAAGATGTGTCCTGGCTGAGTCCTCCTCTTTCTGATGAGCAGAAGCAGCCATGTGTGCGTGTGTGTGTGTGTGTGTGTGTGTGTGTGTGTGTGTGTTCTGTTAGGAGGATACTTGATCTCTTTTCACCATTTCGTCCCTGTATGAGGTAGGATTTCTTTCATTCTCAGAGTTTCACTCTGCTTCCCCGTGTCAGTGTCCATACCACATTTTCAAGTCCATGTGCCAGTATCCCATGGTATGAAACTAGCTATGCCTCTGAAGTGCTGGCTTTATGTTTTTAACTTAAAATGCTTTTTTTAATGATTGCTCTGGTGCTTGCAGTATGCATTTTACACTAATCTAAATCTATCCTCAGATGACCCTGTTCTACCCCTATAGTGTGGGGACCTTGTTGTGACAGCTTGTCTTCAGCTCCTCTCTCCCATCCTGTGACATTGTTGTCATTCACTTCATTTATGATATTTCCAATATCTGTGTCATGTCTGATCTCATTCAGATGATCCCTTTGGGTTTGCTGACCTTCTTGAATCTGTAAATGTATGTCTTTCAATACATTTGGGATAGCTCAGTCAGTGTCTCTTCAAGTATGTTTTTCTGCCCCACTCTTTCTCCTCTTACCTAGAGGAGGTTTCTGTTCTCAAACCTTAAGAGTCATCCTGGTCTTTGTTATCCATGGGGTTGATTGGCTTCCTCACTGATACAGAGTAGGCACATGATGGGACTTTCCCAGCACGGGGTTGGGTGTTCTCCATGCCCAGGCTTCCACCTCTTTTGCCTTCTTTGTTAGAAAATGCATTGACAAGAGGCTGGCCATGATGATTGGTTCTTGCCATTGCTAAGGTGCAAAGCCAAGCTTACTCATAACTCAGAGCGTGCTGTCTGATGCAGTAGCCATGAGTTGCATGTGGATTAACTTAAATACAAACTGAAGTTAAATAAAATTTAAAGTTCACTTTCTTAGTCACAGCAGCCACATTTCAAGTGCTCAGTAACCACATACAGCTAGCAGCTGCCGTATTGGACAGCACTGATTATAGAATCATCCTATCCTTGCTGAATATTTACCTGGATAGCACTAACTTAGAGGGACCAAGGTATGATTTTGAGACCATCATCTGAACCACATTAAATCCTATATGACTGACATGATTAAATGTAAATATATACAAATATGCTTGAGAAATAGATTGGGGAAGAAGTTAAGCCAAAAAATAAAAACCAATCGCTGTCAGAATTGGTTCCTTTCACTTTCAGATGACATCATCCTTCTCCTGCCTCCCCCCATTTTATTGCATCGTGCCAAGCTTTCCATTCTCAGGAAATCAACCCACTCCTTTAGTGTTCTCATCAATGAAGTCAGGACATCAACTCTCGAGCAAAGGAAGAGACTTTCTGCTTTGAGAGCTCAGTGAAGGGTGCTCACAGGAATCTAACCATGCTGGAAGGTTGGGATGAAGCCTTTACTGATGACACAGACTCCCAGTGACTCAATGTTTTTGCATAGAACAGCCTTGCTTTTCTAGGTAAATGAATTCTGATAGATTCCTAGCTAAGACCTGAAATAAATCGGTAAATAAAAGCTGAATTATTTTGACAGTGATTTGGAGAGCAGATCTGTGGTGTATGTGTGTGTTCTAAGTCTAGCATTTGCCTCTTGTGGTTGCTTGAATGACCTGGAGCCAGAAATGGGTCATCTGGGAGTCACCTTGGAGAGGCTCAGTGTTGGACAGGCTGTGGAGGGATTCCTTGCTTCTGGTCTTGGGCTGTCCTCACTGATGTTCCCCACGGTCCCTGATGGTTGACTGCAGTAAAAGAGCACCACCCCAGCAGGGAGAGGAAGCTGGTGGTTCCCCTGGTGCTAGGTTTCAGACACTTTTTACTACTGCCGGCCAGGTGTCCCTGCATGTCCTGCCTGTCCTCAGTAGCCCACCTGGCCCACAAGTATTTAGAAATAGACGTCATCCTCTCAACAGTTCTCAGAGGGAGACACATTACTCCTCATCCTGAGTTTCTGAATTTCAAACCCCAGTGGCTGTCCTTTTTTAGAGAATAGTGTTCATTAACTTGAACAGGACTTTTGCTCAGCACTTCTAATCTGGCAGATAGACCTCACAGGTAGCTTGCGCCCCCCACCCCCTCCTCCTTCACCCCCTCCTTGCCTTCCACCTCCCTCACCCCCTCCACTACTCCCACCTCCCTTGCTCCCACCTCCCCCTCCCTTGCTTCCACCTCCCCCTCTCAAGCTCCCGCTCTGCTTCCCTTGCCCTCTGCCTCCCTCACCCCCTCCTTGCCTTCCACCTCCCTTGCCTCCTCACCTCCCTCTCGACCACCCTCCTCCCTTGCTTCTGCCTCCCCCTCCCTCTCACCCCCACCCTTTCGCCCCCACCCCCTACCCAGCCTCCCTCATCCCCTCCTTGCCTTCTACCTCCCTCGCTCCTGCC